CAGAAACATATTTATATTGGCCGTTTTAATTCATACAATTGTAAGATCCACTATTACAGGACAGGCAAAAGAGCAAAGCTATCATATTGCCTTAAAAGGACTTTTCAAAATCCATCCTAAAACACAGTACTGGCAGTGATAGATAGTGCCCATAAGCTTACAAGGAGATCATTCAAATTTACACACCAAGCACTAATGCCAAGGGTGATGAATGAAGATTTTTTAAATTCTGCAATCTGAAGTTGATGAAGTTAATCTGAAGTTAAGATGCCTTGATTGTTGGTCATTGAAATGTGAGCATTGGAAAGGAAGTAGAATCAGCTATTGGAAAAGCCGTTTTTCTGTCTCTGGCGATAGAAACAACTTGGGGGATAACAAGATGGTATTTTTCAAGACCAATGAAGTACTCATTAAATATACCTTTTTCAAAAACAAAAGAAGTGAATCAGAATTGTTTCAGTGGTGGCGAGATTGGTTTATACCTGTGGAACTCAGAGAAAGTAGATGAGTTAATCTACAGATTTCAAAGGGCACATTGAGAAGACAAGGCATTATGATGAAATATCCGAAGACCTAGTGTTAGAAAACCAAAATGAATGAACCCACTTAGCATTTTTCAAGTTAAAAAAAAAACTGAAGCAAAGTCAAGCCTCCAAATGCATTTGAATCATGGTGCTAATGAAGAGTATTGAAAATACAATGAACTGCCAGTGAGGGGAAAATGTACATCTGTCCGGAAAGAATTACTTTCAGAATGATCTTCAGAATTCAGTCCTGTGAGACCTCATCTCAGTACTCTGCACATGTTATGAGGAGGAGCAAGTCGCTGGAGAGGCTTCATGTTTGGTAAAGTAGAGCGAGTCGGTGAAAAAGAGGAAGACCTCCGACAGTCAGCAAGCACAGTGCCAGCCGCACTGGGCTCAGGCACCACAGTGTGAGACTTGTGCAGGAGCGGGCAGTCTTTCGTTCTGTTGTACGAAGATTAGCTATGATTGGGGACAGACTTGATGCCCCAACATGGGCAAAATATTGAATCACGCAGGAAGTATCAAACAAAGATAGATTAAATCCGCAAAATCCGTGTAACAAAAAGAATTGCTCAGCATTTAACCATGATAATCTAGAACTGTAGCATAAAATCAAGAACTGATATAATAAAATGGAGTCCATTATGTACTGAAGATATTAACCAAAAACAAAGCTCCAGAAACTGAATGAGATGTTTCATTGGAAGTAACAACTGACTTTAAAACCTAGAGGTATTCATTCATTCATTCATATATGCCAAAAACTTTGGAAGACAGCTGCATGGCCAACTAACTGGGAAAGAAAGATCCATATAAGTGCCCATTCCTAAGAAAGATTATCCCATAAAATGTGGGAAAATATCATGAATATCACACACACAAGTAAATTGTGCTGTGTATAATTTTAAAACACTTGCAGCAGTACATCAACAGTGAGCTGTGGAAATTCAAGCTGACTTCAGAACAGGCCTTAGAACAAGGAAAATCATTGATGATATCTGATGGGTCTTTGCTGAAAACAGAAAAATACAGAATGTTTACCTATATTTTATTGAATATGCAGAGGCATTCAACTGTGTGGATCCTGATAAATTATGGATAACATTCTGAATAATGAGAACTGTAGAATATTTAACTGTACACATAGAACTGATACATAGACTATGAGCCAATTGTTTGACCAGATAGAGTAGTGGGGATACTGTGTAAGTTAAAAAAAGGTCTGCATCAGCATTGCATCCTTTGACCATGCCTGTTCAGCCGTTTGCTGAGCAATTAAACAGAAGCTGGACCGTATGAAGAAGAATATGATGCCAGGATTAGAGGAAAATACATCAAAAACCTGTATTACGTAGACAATACAACCTTACGCTACAAACACGGAGGACTTGACGCACTTACTGATGGAGATCAAAGACAGGCGTCCTTGGTGTTGATTACACGTTAACATAAAACAAAATTCTTCATAAGTAGACCAATAAGGAACATCACAATAAATGGAGAAAAGAGTTTCGTTGACCAGGAATTCGTTGTCTTTGGACCCACAATCAGAACCCATGGAAAGTCAGCAGAACGAATGCTGTATTGCATTGGGTAATTGTACTTCACAGAACTACATGAA